GTTTCTAGGGGCATCAATTCTTACCCATGGAGACGAGTCTAATTCCAGCATGGCCAGGAGCTGGTTAAAATCAAATGAGCTGCATTCTGTTTGATGCCTGACACATTTACTTGGCCCTTTCATAAGAGATTTTATCCCCGGCAGGTTGGTGTCCGGAAGGGTCATAGGATAATCCTACATTCCACAAATCAACGTCATTTATTACATGAGAATGGATCAGGCGGCATTATTATATTGCATTTCCTACTGTAAAGAGATTTTTTTTTACTGAGGAATTACGTTGATCACATACAGTAAGTAGAAGGTATTTGGTAGTTTAGACAACTGACACTCTGCAACATGGCTGAGACTTTGTTCTTCTAATAGTTGAACCTTCTAGCATTTCTTCTGAGGGGAGCTCACCGATTTTATAAAATGTGCTTCATAGAAGCACAGACCCCCAACAGACCTAAGCTAGCTGGAGCTGCTGTCATTTCCTTCTGCAGGGTGCCTTTAATCTTCCTCACTGGGAAATGTCGTCCCCTCCTGGGTGGCTTGTGAGGTCTGGCCTCCCACTTCCGGGCCTGACTCCAGCCTCCAGACCTTGTTGGAGGCAGTGTTCCTTGTTGCTCTTCTTTCTCCATCCTTCTTGGTTCGCTTCCTCACAACCTTTGTCCCGGCATCCCACAGTTCTTCGGCTCCAGGCTCAGCCCTGAGCAGGTGACCTGCACCCGCCACGCGCAGGGGGAGAAAGGGTATGGAGTCGGCTCCGTCACCTTGCTCCCATCAGAATCTCGCTGCAGCTCTATTTTTCACATCTTCCTCTCGTTTCCCCTCCTGCTGCTGCCAAGACAAATCACTGTGTTCTGGATTACCTCCCGACTGCATCTGAATCACTTTCTCCTCTTTCACCTTCTCTCCTCTGTTTATGAAAGCACACGGATATACTCATTCTTTTATTTTTATTTTTTTAAAATATTTTTATTTATTTCTAGGAGAGAGAGAGACAGCGTGAACAGGGGAGGGTCAGACAGAGAGGGAGATACAGCCTTTGAAAGAGGCTCCAGGCTCTGAGCTGGCAGTCAGCACAGAGCCCGACGCGGGGCTCGAACCCACAAACCGCGAGATCATGACCTAAGCGAAAGTCGGACGCTTAACCGACTAAGCCACCCAGGCGCCCCAAAGCCTTTCCCTTATTCTTGTTACTGCTGTGTGTTATTAGATCTCTTGCCCTTTTTTTTTTTTTCCATTGCCAAACGTCTGGGACTGGTAGTCTGTAGTCACTACTTCAAGGCCCACATGTGCCTTCAGCTTTTGAAATCCGGCTTCTTTCTCCACCATCCCACTGAGAATGTTTCTCCAGAAGGTCACTAAGCCTCTAGTTCGTCAAACCCAGTGAACTTTTTTCTGTTCTAATTCCTAAGTCTCTAGAATCTGACATTATTTATTACCATGTTCTTGAAGCTCACTGGCTGCTTTGGCTTTCAGGACACTTTTTTTTTTTTTAATGTTTATTTATTTTGAGAGAGAGAGAGGAGGGGGAGGGGGAGGAGGAGAGGTAGAGAGAGGGAGAGAGAGTCCTAAGGCGGCTTCTCTCTACCAGGAGTCTGAGCTGGGTCTCCAACCCCACAAACCACAAGATCGCTACTGCAGCCGAAATCAAGAGTCAGGTGCTGAAACAACTAGCCACCCAGCTGCCCCCAGAACACTGTTTTAAATCTTCCTTCTGACCAGTTGTTTTCTCTTCCTTACTCCGGTGACTTTGGTGGGAACTTCTGCACAGATAATTCCCTGACGGTTATCTCTAGCTCCAGCCTATGAAATTTCAGACCAGCATTTCTGCTACTTGCTACACATTTCCTCCTGAGCCCAGGCTCTGGACATATCTGATCTCCTCTTATCTAATTCCTCTCCTGTGTTTCCCACCATTAATCATCCCCCTATCAGTCAGAGTTCTCAGATTTTTGATTCTTCTGCCCCAGATTCAGACACTGGCAAACCCTGCCCCTTCTCCTGCCACCCTTTGCCATGTCTGTCCCTCCTGTCCATTCCCACAACTACTTTGGATTTGGGTTCTAGTCTCTTCATTGCTTTCTCTGTCTCTAGTTCTCACGGACATGCCAGGTTATATAGCTCCAGTACTGGTGCTTTCCTGCTCAAAACTTTCCCATGGCTTTGAATTAGTAAAGGAATTAAGTACAGATGCGCAATTAGGCATTCAAGACCTTCACAGTAAGTGCAATGGAAATTTTATTTTCTATTTCCCAAATAAAGCCAAAACAAATTGTCAACAACACGGTACTGTCCCTGCACTTTAGTAGAAGAGTTGTAAGAAAAAGAACTTAATTTTTTAAAATGGTGTATACTTTTTTTCCCAGCTTTAACATACAGGCATTTGGGGATTTGCTCTTCCTCTCAATTACAAGGTAATTTTCATTTGAATTTACTTAGCACATTGCATCTCATATTCTAATTATGGCTATTTTTGTCTTGCTCTTTTCTACCTATGCCCTAGTCCCTTCAAACACAGAACGTGTCTTACTCATCTTTGTGTACTTCTCGTTCCTTGGCACATGGTGCTAACTATACGTTTGCTAACTTTATGTGTGCCCTACCCCCAACAGAATCCCCTCCGCTTGACAAAATCAGCCACAACGCTAATTAAATAAAAACACCTAGGGGGCACCTGGGTGGCTCAGTTGGTTGAGCGTCCGACTTTGGCTCAGGTCATATCTCGCAGTTTGCAGGTTTGGGCCCCACACTGGGCTTGCTGTGTCAGTGCAGAGCCCGCTTTGGATCCCCTGTCGCCTCGCTCTGCCCTTGCCCCACTTGCGCACTCTCTCTCTCTCAAAAAGTAAACATGAAAAAGAATAACCCACCTAATTCTTCAGTTCTTAGGTAAGGTGGTTTGCAGCTGAGGTTTAGGAAGGGGAAGCTGGAGGGGCACCTGGGTGGCTTAGTCAGTTAAGCGTCCGACTTTCCCTTAGATCATGATCTCCTGGTTCGTGGGTTCGAACCCCGCATCGGGCTCTGTGCTGACAGCCAGCTCAGAGCCTGGAGCCTATTTCAGAGTCTGTATCTCCCTCTCTCTCTCCTAGAAATAAATAAAAATGAAAAAAAAAAAAAAAAAAAGGAAGGGGAAGATGGAGGTACTTGGAAGCTCTTAAAATATTTTTGAAGGGAAATGTTGTTTGAACCATTTGTTCTTACGTAGTCCTATGGTGTTTAATTTAATTGGCAGATGTGTTAATTTTATGTTTGAGGATATGTGTTAAGTTTTGCAGGCAAGTGCCTGTTACCATTTAAACTCAGCTTATTGACAAGTCTTTGACCAAATAATATTGTTCTGGGAAGATGGGGTTTATTGAAAATCTCTACCACAGGAATGGCCGTGAGGATAAAATATACCAACAGTATGAAAGAGGTTGTTGGTGCAGGGCAGCTATATAAGGTATTATTCTTAAGTGTCCATAGTTAAACTATACACATATCCTCAACTTTTTATTTATGTAAAGACAGAGAATAATACCATGAATCATTTTACTAAATGCAGTCTGCTAGTTTTAAAAATCCATTTAAACTCTCAATAATTCTTCCTATTGAAGCTGAGGTGTCCCATACACTGCTAATGCCCTTTGATAGTGCTATGGTTCCTGAACAGATAACTTTTATTTTTTAGTGTGTATTTGTTATTGAGAGACAGAGGGAGACAGAGCACGAGCAGGGGAGGGGCAGAGGGAGACAGAGAATCTGAAGCAGGTTCCAGGCTCTGAGCTGTCAGCACAGAGCCTGACGCTGGACTCGAACTAACAAACCTCGAGATCATGGCCGAAGCTGAAGTCAGATGCTCAACCGACTGGGCCACCCAGGCACCCTGACAGATAACTTTTAAAGAGGCCTATGAATTTTAAGAGTTGCTTTATGGTCTTTCAAATTCTTGAAACACAGTTTTGAAGTATGAAAAGTTCAAGGCGAAGCCCCACTTTGAAAATCAAAGCTCTCCAGCTGGGAAAATTTGACACATGGGCTCTTAGCAAAAGGCTCAATGACTCAACTATTTGGCTATATTTAAAGTGTAAAAAATATATATATATATATATACACATACATATATATACACACACACATACATTTATAATATGTAAATATATATACACACAAAATACATCACCTTCTAACATATCCCACTTAAGACTTAGGCTCTGGGAATTCTCCTGGCAGTACTTTCACCACGGCTGTAATTTATCCTCTACCTGTAAATTTAAAATTTACAGAAAAGCTCCAAGCTCCAGAGAAGACAACCGTAAGAAAGCTGGGTTTACCCAAAATTAGAGTTAGGAGGTGGCAGAAGAGAAAAGAAATCAAAGTCTCCGTGGCCTAAAAAAAAATTTTTTTTTAAATTTCGGGATAGAATTGGCATATAGCCTCATGGCTTTTCGTCATGCATGTATGTACGTATGTACGTATGTAACACGTAACACACACACGTAGAAATGGACAGCCGCCTCGAAGGCAGGGTGTACGTACAACATAGACATTGTAAAAAACTGAAAATACAAGAAAAAAGAAAGCCCTAAACACTTTCTTGATCTTTCTTGATGTCTTCTAACGAGTTTGAAGCTGCAGCAGAAAGAATGAGGCAGAATCTGTCGCTGAGAAACTCGGGAGACCTGAGACCCACCGGTGGGCTTGGCAGTCCGGCGAGCCGGGGGCGCCGAATGGGCAAGGGGGGGTCCGCCCGGCCAGAGGCCGCGTCGCCCGCGTCCCCCAGCCCCGCACGCGCGCCGCGCCGTCGCCTCCCGGGGCGCCACGCACCTCGCCCACGGCCCGCAGCCCAGCCCACCGCAGCCTCACAATCGGGACTGGGCGCCGGCATGACGTCACCTCTCCGCGGCCCGCCTCCTGCGTCCGGAAAGAGGAGGCCTCCCATTGGCTGCGCCGCTGGCGGCCTCCGGGCCAATGACGGGGCAGCGAGCGGCGGGGTCGGGCCTTGACGTTGTGCTGCTCGCCGTGGGGTTTATTTGGCTCCGGGGCCCTTGGCCGACGCCATTAGGAGCCGCAGCGCCCGAGGCCGACCCCTTCTACCGCTCTGCCCCCTCCCCTCTGCCCCTGGAGCGCCCCCCGCCCCCGCGCCCGCTTTCCGCCCCTCCGCCCCCGCCCCCGGTAGCCGGGAGCCGCGCGCGGGCCCGCGGAGACCATGTCCTGACTGAGGGGAGAGGGCGGAGGCGGCAGCAGCGGGACGGGCGGCGGCACGGAGGGAGGCGGAGAGGGGCCGGGCTCGGCTCGTCGCCTCGGGCTGCTCGGGGAGTCGCCGCCGCCGCCGCCGCCGCCGGGCGCTGAGCATCGGACGGGGAGGAGGAGCAGGAGCTGGAGGAGCCGCCGCCGCCGCCAGGTAACCGGGCCCCGGGAGGGCGCCCCGCTGCAGGCCCCTCGCGGCCCCGTCTGCGGCCTGCCCGGCCCCTCGCTCCCTGGCGGCGCCCAGGCCGCCGGGTCTCCGGGCCCCCGCCCGCCCGCGCCCCCCGGGGCGGCGTTGCGGGCGACGGGAGAGGCCAGGCGAGGGGAGGGGACACGGCCGGCCGCCGCCGCGCTCCCATCTTGGGCTTTCTGGGTGCGGGGACAGGCCCGGGGCTGTGGGAGGGTGGGTCCGCCGCGCTTGTTTACCGACCATCGATCAGCCGCCGCCTGCCCTGTGCCACCTCTCTTCCGCCAGCTTCCCCCTCCGCCGCCCCCCAACTTCTTTTTCTGCCACCTACGGGCGGGTGAGTGGGGCCTCCCCCCTGCTCTGTAATAGGCCGTACTACTTGGTTCCATCTTTACAAGTTAGTGCTGGTCTCCAAACTTGTCTTTTGCGCGGCCGGCCGCCTCTCCGGCCTCCCGAGGTGGCCTCCGGTTGGTGCCGTGTCTATAAGAAAATAAAGGCGGAGGGCATCGGGGGTGGGGGTGGGGGCGAGCTGGCGGGGGGGGGGGGCGGGGAGCTGGAACCGGGGGAAAGATTGTTTACCCTGCTCGCTCGCAGCAACGATTGTGCAGTGCAAGTGTCTTGTTATTTGCTCGGCGGTGGTTCGTGTGGGCTGTTTCGCGGACAAAAGGACTGTAGTGAATACTTGCGTTAAGCACAAGGGACAGGCAGTTGAAGTCCAGCCTGGGACGTTTGGGAGCCGGTCCATTATCTTTGAGATACACTGGGGTTTTGAAACTCTCCTGGCTGAGAATTCGGAGTTTCTGGGTACCGAGGCTCCTTTTCCAGCACCCTACGTAGGCTACCAGGTTGAGCGCCGTACTCTTCTGCCCAGGATTTTGGTCTGTTCGCTCACCGTAAAGTGAGGGTACAGAAATATTGTTTAAGAATACAGTTGAGAAACGCTTAGCTCTTGGAAACCTCATAGAATGAGCGGTTCTTGGGTCTTTGGTTTTTGTTTTTTTGTTTTTTTGAATTGACTTTATCATTTGCGCGACCTCAAGGGTACCCCTGTTTTGAGCAAACAACGATGACTCAGTGTACAACTCACACGCCAGGGGAAACCATAAAGAATTTTGATCTCGGTTTACGCCAAGGGCCTTGGAAAAGTCACCTAAACTGTGCTTGTGAAAAATAAAGCTGAAGCTCTTCTCCTAGTTATTATCGCTAATTAAGTGAGGTAATTCTAAAGAACTTGAGAATCTTGCTCCCTCTTGATTTTTGGATCTTAAGCTCTGCAGTCACTTCCTTATAGTACAGTTTCATAGCATTGTTTTTACTGGGCACTGAGGGAAGCTAAGAAGACAGCACTGACACATTTTAAGCTTTGGGGAGGATAGTTGAGTGTCAGGAGGGTCTTTTATTTCTCTTGATGTTTCAACAACATCAAAGGTGTTTGTTAACGCTTTAGAGAATTGAGACCCCCATTTATTTACTCTTGAAATGTGCCTGGGTGAGTATGGTGAACTCATTGATGGTAGTGTATTTTCTGCTTGTGGCCTTAATCTGGCTCTGTACACTGGCAAGGGGTAAGGCGTGTCACGTTTAACATCTGAGGGTTAACATAGTTCTGAAACTCACAATCCAGTTACACGGTAGTTGAGGTGAATTGCCTCTCCTGTGTAATTGATAGTGTGAGTGCTGTTCAATGTGCTTTACACTTACATTGCTTTTATAATAAGTGGAAACTGTAAATAAACGGGAATTGGAAAAAGTAGAGCACTGTAACTTTTTATCTAACTTGCCTCCCTACTACCTGAGTAATAAGCTTTTATACCTGGGCTTTGAACACATTTTCTCCCAGTGATGTGCCATTTTATTTGGAATATTTGTGCTTGCTTATGCTTTGGGTAAATAATATCTTGAACATTGTAACACTCTCCTCACATCACAGCGTAAAAACTTCCAGAACTCTCCTTACTACATGCGAAGTAAGGTTGAAGCTTCTTGGTGTGGTGTTCAGGTTTCTCTGTAATCTGGCCCTGATCCGCTTCGGTCTTAACTCCTGTTTCTTCCATTTGTGCATTCTTAGTTCCAGCCAAACTAACTTGTTTGTTGTTCCTGTGAGTTTCCTCCTCTTGGCCTTTCTTTGTGCCTTTCTTTCTATTTGAAACCCTCTTCCGCTGTATTCATGGATACTTCCTTTACTTTGGGCCCAGTTGAGTCCTGTCTCTTGAGAAGTCTTTGACGAGTTCAACCTCAAGGGATCTATTCACTCTTTTTTTGTGTGTGGGACTCTTAATCCAGCATGTGCTAGCCTGGATTGCAGTTTGTCTTTTTATACTTTTATTCTGCTTCCCAATTGGATTTTAAAGACCTCTGAGAAATGGGTATCCCAATTGGATTTTAAGACCTCTGAGAAATGGGTATGAGTTCTTTATCTGTCGTAACCACCTTATATTCAGCATTGAAGATGGATACATGGTCTGACCAAGTATTTTTGGTTATGGAAGTATTCTAGGATATGCTATTTGTAGTGGTTGTTTTTTTTTTTTTAAGTAATTAATTTTGAGAGAGATTCTGAATCAGCATGAGCCAGGGAGGGCAGAGAGAGAAGGAGAGAGAATTCCAAGCTGACACCGAAGTGCCTGATGCAGGGCTCGAACTCACACACTGTGAGAGCATGATCTGAGTTGAAATCAAGAGTCAGATGCTCAACTGACTGAGCCACCCAGGAACCCCTCTTTGTGGTCTTTCTAGGATTTTGATGATTTAGGAGATAACATATTTAAAATTATGTCTGTTTCTTTTTAAATTTTGCTTTTTTTAACGTCTATTATTTATTTCTGAGAGTGAGAGAGCGCGCGCATGCGCGCGCACACACACAAGCTGGAGAGGGGCAGAGAGAGGGGGGAGACAGAGTCTGAAGTAGGCTCTAGGCTCTGAGCTGTCACCCCACTTGGGGCTCGAACCCACCAACCATGAAATCATGACCTGAGCCGATGTTGGATGCTTAACTGATCCACCCACGTGCCCCGAAATTATGTCTGTCTATTAAAAAACTTTTTTGGGGGTTAGCATGTTTATTTCTATTATTAGTGTGGTTGTCTTCTTGTAGAGGATGCTCAACAATGTGATAATGGTCATGTCTTTTTCAAGTAACAATTTACTGCAGTTCTGTAGTTTACTTCAGATTTGAGTGTGGTGCAGTTACTTCGGTTTGAGTTTGACACTTGTGACACTAAGGAAGGTCATTCCATATTTGTATATAGGTAACATTTAGTGTCACGAGAAAGAGAAAATAATCTGTAGTCTCAGTTTGCATCCTTAACCTTAGATGTTGGCAGCGTGTATCATTGATCATGAGGCAGATGAGACACAGGAGAATGTGTGATTCACTGCTACCTGTCAACACTGTTGGAAGAAAACACAAACAGGCTGGTCCATAGTGTTTTTGTATACCAAGGATAATATGTGTAATTATATAGTACATGGGTGGATGCTGATGTAGTTGGAAAATACGTGTACGTGTTCCTGTTGTGTGTGTCTGAGTTGGAGGCTTGGTATTTTATGCATACGTCATCTCTTAGCAGTAAACAATCTTGATTTATCCATTGCATGTATGAGGAAGCTTGTCCTCTTCCAGTTCATCAAAATGTTTTTTCCTTGTAATTGATTTTGTTAGAAAGTAGTTTACATCAAACCTTGTTTTAAGCTTCAGAAACCATTTTAGAATAATTAAAGCTGAAATTAGTCCATTAATGAACTTCCCAAACATATTAGGCATTCGTAAAAGGCTAACTTGCATGGAGATTATACCAGTAATTTTACCACTTGAGAAATCTGGATCAGTAAGCATTCTTTGCTTTTTGGGAGGGTGGTGTTTTGGTTAAGATGCAATTTTTAACAAGAGCCATCCCTTTGAGTTTTTTCTTTTTTTTCAAGTTTGTTTATTTATTTTGAGGGGTACCTGGTGGCTCAGTCGGTTGGTTGAGCGGCTGACTTTAGCTCAAGTCATGATCTCACGGTCCGTGAGTTTGAGTCCCATGTTGGGCTCTGTGCTGACAGTTCAGAGCCTGGAGCCTGCCTGGGATTCTGTTTCCCTCTCTCTCTCTGCCCCTCCCCCAACTCGCACTCTGTCTCTCTTTCTCAAAAATAAACAAACATTAAAAAAATAAAGCGTATTTATTTATTTTGAGAGACAGCGTGTGCGAGAGGGGAAGGGAGAGAGAGAATCCCAAGTAGGCTCTGCACTGTGGTACATAGCCCAAGGCAGGGCTTGAACTCATGGACCAGATGATCATGACCTGAGCTGAAACAAAGAGTTGGACATTTAACTGATTGAGCAACCCAGGTGCCCCCAGTTTGAGTTTTAAAATGGATGTTGGTCAGTTAAATTGAATGTAAAGTTGATAATTTTTCAGCTACCTAGTGAATTGAACTTTTTAGTAATGAAAAAACTAATTTTTTGTTTTTAGAGTTCATATATTGAGGGCAGACTGTCCCCCTCTCTCCTAACCAACAAAACATAATTTAAGTTTTTCACCATTTGGTAAGTCAGAATTTTATGTGGCTTGAATTCACATAAATAAAACATATTTGAATGTATAAAGCATTGTTGGAAATCACTTTCATATCTTTCCATTGTTTTTCTTTTTTTTAAAGTTAAAAAACTTTAAAAACATTAAAAAATGTTTGTTTATTTTTGAGAGAGAGAGACACACACACACACACACACAGCATGAGCAGGGGAGGGGCAGAGAGAGAGAGGGAGACACAGAATCTGAAGCAGGCTCCAGGCTCTGAGCTGTTGACACAGAGCTGGACGGGGGTCTCAAACCCACGAATGGCGAGATCATGACCTGAGCCGAAGTCAGACGCTTAACTGACTGAGCCACCCAGGTGCCCCTTTATCTTAATTTTAAAGTAACCATTTCACTGAAATTTATTTCATATACCATAAAATTATCCTTTTAAATATATAATTCATTGGT